TTGCAATTGTGCACCTCCTTTTTTATTTTTACCCGACACATATTTTGGGTTTCCCGGCCACAGCAAAACACGGATTTTGCCATTATAATCATATGGGAGGTGGTGGTTTTATTTAGTGAGCTCATTGCTCACAGTACCTTTAGTTTTAAACAATTTTTTGTGGATTTCATTGTTGGTTGGATTCATGCACACAATAAATGTTTGTCGAAGTTCGGTGCCTTCATTTTAACGTATGATAAACCTTTAAAGGACTTGGAACAGGTTTGAAGTTATTATTTTCTCTGCAGATAAAATATTTATACATGTATACTAGTAGCAATATGTAAACAACAGACCTAGTGAGTGACCACAAGTTTATATATGAATCCCTTTGGCCCTGTTGTTCCTCAAAAAAAATTTTTAAAAAAATTTTTCCCCTTGTTTTTCTTCCCATCAAAACTGTTGACCTCGTTTTGCAACCCAAGACTAGCTCGAGGAAGTTATAATGATAAAGTTATTGGTCGTGTACCGATGATAATTGAGCTCAAAGCCCAAGTGAGCTATAAAAGAAAGGCTTAAGCAGAAATCAAAAGTGAATCTACAATACAAAATGCAAGACAATGGTCATACTGATAGAAAAATGCACAGAGGTTGAGGGAAGCTTCATTAAATTTTGTTTTAATTATAAATATTCAATACGTGCAATTTAGAGAGACAAAAAACAAGCAGAAGAGAGGAAAGACCAAAGACAAGTGGATATTGCCACTTTTAGATTGGCACAGACCATCACCGTTTGTCATTAGATCAAATTATATCATTTTAGTTGAGTGAAAGCTGTGCATTTGGATTCTGTGAAAATGGACAAGCCGATGGTATTCCCGACAGTAGATTCATGTTACGTCAGAGCAGTATATTTTACCACTAAAATTGATGATCAGACCAGCAGTCGGCGATTTGAATCTTTCTCTTGGGGCAAGGATTATCCAAGTAAAGCGACTTTCCCTGTACAACTGAGAAAATGCACCTCCATATTCTCAGAGGTCTCGCCACCAACATCAGACATCCATGAAATTAATGTCGATTTTACCTGCGACCCAGCACTCTTCAGAAATCATTATAACTGGCCAAGAGTATACTGTTTGGCGTTTATTTGTTCAATAACACAGATAATAGGATTCATTATCAACCAATAGAGAATCATGGTGAAAGAAAAGGTTTGCTACTGTCAAGGAATCATCAAAGCACAAGAAATTTTTTTTCTCTCGGAGAGAAATGGTAGATACCTTACCGCGGGAAAACTCTTTTGACAGAAACACTGGACCATCTAAAGAATCGCGGTCACGGGATAATTCTGTAAATAGCGAAACGTTTCTTGCTGAACACGAGTTAAGCACAAGACAATTTAAAAAATGACTTTCAGCTAAACTTATTAAAGGTATATCATTTTCTTTAAATTCAAGAAAGAGGCCTATCACAAACAGGTTTTCAACCAAAAGCAAAACTTTAAAAATATTACAACAAAACTTCTCCTTATCTAAGAACCATGTTTATAAATCAGTGATTCCTTTCAGCTAAATCTTCGACTCGTCGTGGAAGGAAACGGTCAGATGAGGGTCTCCTGCCACGTCCCAGTGCCAGATCACATGATTCTGATCAACACAGCAGAGAAAATAGAACCTTCATCTACCAAGTTAAGAGAAAGGAGGTCACCTTGACGTACAAATTCCCAGTAGAGGCAGTCCGCCCCTTTGATTATTTCTGCAGTGTTTATGATGAATATGGAAATCACAATACTTGATACACCCATTATTGATCTTAATAGTAAAATAATGATAAGAAATTTTAAAAGGAGCAATAAATATAAATGTTTTATTGTGCACAATTTTGCTTCAATCTCATTTCTGGTACAATGTTTTATTTTTGAACATGAGGGATACATATAGATCCAAATGTAAAAAAAAAAAAAAAAAAAAACCATGTCATTAAATGTGCCAATGTCATACGTGGTGTATCACTGCCTCTTTTGAATATAAAGAATTTTGAATCATTAATGGACTTCATTTTGCAATTAGTTCATATAATATTATAGGTATCTATTAAGTTTAAATAGACAATATCAATGTAAACTTTATTTAAATAAATCCATTATTTAACAAAACTCTCCAAAAAAAATTTTTGTTCACAATAATTAAGATATACTGTAAGCACTGTGCTAACAAAATGGTAACCTGTGCTTCCATACAAGTGTAATGCCAAAATCAATTTCTTTGCTAAGGAAAATCCAAAATATCTGACTAATCAAAACGTAAATCGGGAGTTTCACAAAGGTACTATGTAATGAAGATTCTGTGAAAATCACATTGAATTATATTCCAGGTATAGGAGGGGTTGTGGATAAGAAAATAAGTACCCCTGAGTGTGGACGGACATATGGACACCCCAATCACAAAACATCCTAGTTTTGGGGGTATAATAAACAAAAACAGTAGAATTCAAAGTTAAATACATCCAGAAAACCATCACATAGTAATGGATTCATGAAATATTTTTTTCTACTACATGTAGATCTTCATAAACTCAAAATTCAATAAAAAAATATATTTTAAAAAATATGTTTGCAGAAGAAAATAAATGTACAAATATATAACTAATTCTTTGAAAAATATCACAGTGTGATAAAAAAATATCATAGTGTGACAAAAAAATAAATAAAATAAAATAAAATTCTTCTTAAGAATGGACGGATGTGATTGGAAATTTTTACACAACACAGGAGTTCTGTATAGTAAGCTCGGTAGGAGGCAATTATGGAAAAATATACTCTTAAAAAAAGACAAAAGAATAAGAATATTGCATGCTTTCACTCCCACTGCTTATTATGGCTGTATAAAAACAGACCCAACCCCTGAAGACAGATTGAAATAATATAAATACAAGATGGTTAAAAAAAAATTCCAATCTAAAATGTCTTTTGAAACTTTTACATGTCTTCTTTACAAGATGCTGTATAATGCCGACTACTTTCCTTAAAACATTGTAAAGCCCCAGTAGCACTCAAGTTGCTACAAATGAAGTTTCATAGTAAGAGCTGACTATAAATTATAGGATAATTTAGTAAAACAGTTGAAAAAGAAATGTAGATATTGCCCTATTGATACATGTAGACCATTAGGATATGGGGGTTTTTAGGAACTGCATTTCTGAGGACAGAACATCTGTGATGTGGATACACTTTTTGGCCAAGTCTCCTCCCATTCTCTTCAGTGCTATTTCTGCTGCCTCCCTCACAGATTTAATTGGATCATTCCTCCTGTTGGTAAAAATGATAAAAAGAAGGAGTCGGTCATTTGAAACAAATATTTTCAGTATTCCTCAGTAACTGAATTTCAATGACTTAAATCATCAGATTTTACCATCGATCGGCAACTGCTTGTTCACTTCTGCCCCCTGCCTTTAGGTATCCCAGAGCGAGACAGGCACTCTCTCTGACCAGTCTGTCAACATTTTCTAACATCCCAATTATCTTCTCCACAGTCGTCTTCTGGGCTCTCCCTAATCCAAAACAAAGAGGAATTAATTTTATTACCAATTTAGTATGTCTAACAAAAAAACTTTACTTTATGGTAGAAATCAACAAAAGGTTACTCCAATGTAATCCATAAACAAACAAAACAAGAGGCCCAGGGGCCACATCGCTCTCCTGAGCAATTGGCTATGGAAAAAAACATATCAGATCAGAATTGAAAGCCTACTGAGGTTGGGGGGGGGCTTGAATTTTAACCCCCAGGGGGTCATGATTTGAACAAACTAGAATCTATACTACCTGAGGTTGATTCCCTATAAATATCACTAAGCATGGCTTTGAAGTACTTGAAAAGAAGATTGTAGAAGGTTTCCCTATATATTCCTATGTAAAACTTTGATCGGCCATTTTGGCCCCAACCTACCCCGGGGGTCATGATTTGAACAAACTTGAATCTACGCTACCTGAGGATGATTCCATATGAGTTTCATCTTTCCTGGCTCAGTGGTTCTTGAGAAGAAGATTTTTTTAAAGATTTTCCTTATATATTCCTATGTAAAACTTTGATAGGCGATTTTAGCCCCACCCTATCCCGGGGGTCATGATTTGAACAAACTTGAATCTACGCTACCTGAGGATGATTCCATATGAGTTTCATCTTTCCTGGTCCAGTGGTTCTTGAGAAGAAGATTTTTAAAGATTTTTCCAATATATTACTATGTGAAACTTTGATCGGCCATCTTGGCCCCACCCTACCCCCGGGGGTCATGATTTGAACAAACTTGAATCTATACTACCTGAGGATGATTCCATATGAGTTTCATCTTTCCTGGCCCAGTGGTTCTTGAGAAGAAGATTTTTTTAAAAATGCCATTAATTTTTCTCTAATTCATAATTATCTCCCCTTGGAAAAAGGCGTGGCCCTTCATTTGAACAAACTTGAATCCCATTTACCCAAGGATACTTTGTAGCAAGTTTGGTTGAATTTGGCCCAGTGGTTCTTGAGAAGAAGATCAAAATGTGAAAAGTTTACAACAGCAACGACGATGACAACGACGACAACGACAACGGACAAATTTTGATCAGAAAAGCTCACTTGAGCATTTGGCTCAGGTGAGCTAAAAATCCCAAGAAAGATATCATTTAATATGTTTCACTGTGCATTGCACGGTATTCTACGTATGTGTCAAAGTACCTATCAATTAGCAAATAAAAAAATGTCATATCTTTTATAAGTAACAGCATATGATGTATATTTTTTTTATTTACTAAACATTTTGGTAAATTGATAGGTGTGCAAATTCCTGTGTAACCAAAATAATTTAGATTCTGTGCTAATTAATGCATTTACAAATCTTAACTTTGAGTTTACTTACATATACTTGTCTGCATGTTCTTGCCAATGGCATCATTTTCTAAAATGTTGATGCATAAGAAGGTTGTGAACCAGACATTAATAAACACTCTTTCTGTCAATGACCTTACCCACCTGACATTAACTGGCATGGAAGTACATATCCACTGCACCTTTCATGTATCATGATTGTCATACCTGATTGGCCTCAATTTTTATATATCACGGTTCATGTATTAACTGACTTTGCCAGGGCTATTGATCTGATAGTTATAATACCTGACTTTGCCAGAGCTATCGTGGCTATTGCTCTGATAGTTATATTACCTGACTTGGCCAGCACTATTGTGACTATTGCTCTAATGGTTGTATTACCTGACTTTGCCAGGGCTATCGTGGCTTCATTGCTCTGATGGTTGTATAACCTGACTTGGCCAGGGCTATTGTGGCTATTGCTCTGATGGTTGTATTACCTGACTTGGCCAGGGCTATTGTGGCTATTGCTGTGATGGTTATATTACCTGACTTGGCCAGGGCTATTGTGACTATTGCTCTGATGGTTGTATTACCTGACTTGGCCAGGGCTATTGTGACTATTGCTCTGATGGTTCAATACCTGACTTGGCTATTGCTCTGATGTTTGTATTAACCTGATTACCTGACTTGGCCAGGGCTATTGTGGCTATTGCTCTGATGGTTGTATTACCTGACTTGGCCAGGGCTATTGTGGCTATTGCTCTGATGGTTGTATTACCTGACTTGGCCAGGACTATTGCTCTGATGGTTGTATTACCTGACTTGGCCAGGGCTATTGTGACTACTGCTCGGATGGTTGTATTACCTGACCTGGCCAGGGCTATTGTGGCTATTGCTCTGATGTTTGTATTACCTGACTTGGCCAGGGCTATTGTGGCTATTGCTCTGATGTTTGAGTCCTCATCCTTTAACATGTCTGTGAGTCCACTAATAACAGCTGGGAAACAGAACTCTCCTGCAATATTACATGTCTGTATAGTTACATGGTTTTATCATTATTTCTGGAGCACGAATTTTTTGTGGATTTTGTTGATGAATCGATCCACGAAATAAAATATTTGTCGAAGTTTGGTGCCTCCATTTTGATTTATAATAAATCTTTAAAAAGCCCATTCCAACTTTCATTAAAATATATCAAATACCCCATCTTTCTTAACAGATTGACTTTAAAGATGACGTTTTAAGAATTAAAACAAGAGGCCCATGGGCCACATCGCTCACCTAATTAACTTTGGTGATGTCATTCTTTACCAGATTTCCTCCCTTGTAATACTTATTTTGGCCAAGTCATACCCCCCCAATGTCACAATTTTTACAATTTAGAATCTACACTACCCTAGGAGGCCCTCTTCCTATTGTGGCCCTGCCCAGCCCCCGGGGGTCATTTGAACAATTGACATTCTACACTACCCCAGGATGCTTTCACACAAGTTTCAGCTTCTCTGGCCCAGTGGTTCTTGAAAAGGAGATTTTTAAAAAAAATTTCCAATGTATTTCTATGTAAAATTTTGATTCCCTATTGTGGCCCTGCCCAACCCCTGGGGGGTCATGAGTTTAACAATTTAGAGTCTACACTACCCAAAGATGCTTCCACAAAAGATTCAGCTTTTCTGGCCCAGTGGTTCTTGAGAAGAAGATTTTTAAGTTTTTTCTTATATATTTCTATGTAAAACTTTGATTCCCTATTGTGGCCCCGCCCAACCCCTGGGGGTCATGATTTGAACAATTTAGAGTCTACACTACCCAAAGATGCTTTCACATAAGTTTAAGCTTTTCTTGCCAAGTGGTTCTTGAGAAGAAGATTTTTAAAAAGTTTTTTCCAATATATTTCTATGTAAAACTTTGATTCCCTATTGTGGCCCTGTCCAGCCCCTGGAGGTCATGATTTTAACAATTTAGAGTCTACACTACCTAAAAATGCTTCCACAAAAGATTCAGCTTTCTTGGCCCAGTGGTTCTTGAGAAAAAGATTTTTAGAGATTTGTTCTATACATTTCTATGTAAAACCTTGATTCCCTATTGTGGCCCCGCCCTACCCCAAGGAGTCATGATTTTAATATCTAGTTGTCTACACTACCCAAAGATGCTTGCTTCCACATAAGTTTCAGCTTTTCTGGCCCAGTGGTTCTTGAGATGATTTTCAAAGTTTTTTTCCTACAGACATGTATTTCTATGTAAAACTTTGATTCCCTATTGTGGCCCTGTCCAACCCCTGGGGGTCATGATTTTATCAATTTAGAGTCTACACTACCCAAAGATGCTTTCACATAAGTTTCAGCTTTTCTGGCCAAGTGGTTCTTGAGAAGAAGATTTTTTAAGTTCTTTCCTATATATTTCTACGTAAAACTTTGATTCCCTATTGTGGCATTGCCCAACCCCTAAGGGTCATGATTTTTACAATTTAGAGTCTACACTACCCA